AGATTACAGATATCTGGATCCAACCGATAATCTTAACATTAACCGATACAGATCTAGTTTTTTCAAAATCGTCGTCCATGGGATTCGAACTCTAGACCTGCCATTTGGGGGTGCAGCAACCCCAACACTTCACTAGATCGCCACACCCTTTTCACTAGCAAAATACTTTTGATTAACATTATATATTTCTTTAACATGCTTCTTATGGTCATCCTTTTCAACTCTGTTCTTGTTCCAATAACAATATTCAACATTATTTGTTTTACCAGTGTTGCTCATCTGTGTAGATTTTTGATAATAAATGAGCATCTTATGTTCATCCTTTTCAAATTCAATTCAATCTTTATGACAGTTGCCAAATACTAAATATTTCATTAGCATTATCTGTCTACAGATTCTTAATAATAAATGGATGCCATAATGTTCATTCTTTTCAATATCAATTCAATGGCAATAACAATATCTATTATTAGATGATTATTCTTTTCAACACCTATTTTATGGCAATAACAATATCCAACATTATGTGTTCTATCAGTGTTACCTATACTATGTTTATCCTTTTCAACACAAATGCCATGAAGATAACATTATTCAATATTAGATGTTCATCATCGTTGCCCATCCTATGTTCATCCTTTTTAACGCAAATTTTATGAAAATAACAATATCCAACATTAGATATTCTATCTTATGCTCATTCTTTTAAACGCCATTTCCATAGCAATAACAATATCCAATATTAATATTTTTTTATACTAAAAATTAGGGTCTACATATAGTACCAACAATTATATCAAATTCAGAATCTCTTTTGCATTTACTAGTATCTGAAATATTTAAAAATACTTAATGTTTTAAGAAAAGATTTTAACTCTTATTATTATTAATGTTCTATTAGTATCACACATCTTATGCTCTCCTTTTCAACACCAATTTCATGAAGACAGTATTAAACATTCTACCAGTATTACCCATTGTACACTTTTCAACACCATTTCCATAGTGATAACAATATCTAACATTTGATGTTTACCAGCATCATCTATCCTATGTTTATCCTTTTCATTTCCACAACATCCAACATTAAATGTTCATTAGCATATCCTATCCTATATTCATCCTTTTCAATACCATTATTATAGCGATCACAATATCTACATTAGATTTTCTATCTACATCCCCCATCCTATCTATATGTTTATCCTTTTTAATACTATTTCTAGAGTTAATACTTCAACCCAGATATATATGTGTGCTACCAAGTAAAAATTGCAATTTCAATTTTTGCTGGCTCTGCTTTCTGATCTGATTTCTGATACAGTTATACCTGAGTTATATCTCCACTGGGTTATATCCCAACCTGAGTTATATTCCTATTTTTTAACAGAACGAATTTCTTATATTGATTTTACCTAATTTATATCTCATTTTATATTATACTTGAGTAATATTCATATCCCCAGTAGCTTTACAGCTCAAATAGTAATCATTTTACCTAACGTATATCCCAGATAAAATATATAAATAATAATGCCATATAAATAAGAATTAATAGTAATTATAAAATAATTGCCAATGTTTTTATTAGCTAAACTAAGTTAATAAAATTGTTAGCTTAGCTTGACTAGACTGTATTTTATA